TACAGACTCCAGAAAAGAATGCAGCATTGCTAACACTTCCTTTTTTATCCCAGTGAGACTTGTGTCAGACTTTTGAACTACAGATGTAAAATAATTATTACTATCTATATATGGAAAATATTGGGACAAATATATATATAATCATTAAAGTGGTAAGTGGTTGTCTGTTTTATCATAAGTTATGGATCCATCTGGTTTCATTTCCTACTAATTTCTTACTAATGTCACAAGACATTGAACTTACTAAACAGAATTTCAGTCAAAAAAATGATGAAGACTTACTTATCTGTTTAAGAAAGTAAAGTCATCTAGGGCGCCTGGGTGGCTTAGTTGGTTAAGCGACTGCCTTCAGCTCAGGTCATGATCCTGGAGTCCCGGGATCAAGTCCCGCATCGGGCTCCCTGCCCAGCGGGGAGTCTGCTTCTCCCTCTGACCCTCTCATGCTCTCTGTCTCTCATTCTCTCATTCTCAAATAAATAAATAAAATCTTTAAAAAAAAAAAAAGAAGAAGAAAGTAAAGTCATCTAGACTCAAACTGGTCATGTGGACTGAGCCTGAGAAAACATAAACTACATTCATTTCCCACTGCTGAACTTCTCTGTACTCAACAGGCTTACAAAATTTGAAGCCTTGAAGTCACATTCACATAAAACATCCACAGATTATAATGAGTGTTAATCTTGCTTTAAGTTTTCACAGTTATCTTTATTATGTCTCGATAATCATCAAGCATTTACTCTATCAACAGCCCAATTACAAAAGCTCCTAACTAATCTGAAAAGCAAACCAGGCCCACCAAATGAGACAAAGCATTCCTTAAACTGGAAGTTGAAGTCTGAAGTACAACAGCTATCCTAAAATCTTTGAGCAAATTCTGAGAAAGGTTGAGTTCAGCTAATACCAGGAAAGTACATTCCCTTTCATTAAAGCTGATGAAAGGTATAAAGAAGCATCATTTGTGATATAAACCGGGAATAAAAATAAACCTGGGAATGTGTTCTGAAAATATTCCCCACAGTTTTTCCAGATTGGTTGCTGCTGTTTAATTCCAATATTCACTGTGTAGGTCAAGATACTAGTATTAGACCTAAAATACAGCACTTGTATATGAAAAAGAGCTATTACATTGTTTTTGAAGTGCTTTCTCATAATATTACAAATTCATATTTTTTTATTATTAATGGGTTGTACTTACAATAGAATGTTAACATAATGTGCATATAAATGTATTTCTGATCATGTGGACCACCACTGCATAAATTTAGCTCCTCCTGCTCTGACCTCTATACCAACATTAGGGCAGATCACCAGACATTACCCACACACAATAATTATTTCCTTCCCTTAAAAAAAAAGAAAAATGCCTTCCTCAACAAGTATTTAATATTATATCCTAAGAGAAAGGAATATATAAATATACTAAGATCACCCAAAGAACAGCTTTCTCACCTTTGTTCTTCTTCCTTTTCTATGCTTCTGCTCTTATCATTAATCCTCCCTATATTTTTTCCATGGCAATCATTTAATATAAAAAATAAATACAAATTAATTGCTTTAGGCACATTGTCATTTTAATTTAAAAAATGAGATGAAGCAAGCACTAAATTCAATTTACCTGTATCCAAATAATAACTACTGAGCCCCTGCTACCTGAAAGTCTCTGTTTTAAGGGCAAGGGAGATAATCCTCATTCTCTTAGAGCTTCTGTCCAGCAGAGATGGCAGAGGAGTAAACACAGGAATTCCAACAGGGATAAGAGCTAAAAATGGGGAAGCGCCATGACCAAGAGGTATTTCAGGGGTATTTACTCTCCTTTGCCAGAAGAGGAGAAGAGGAAACATGGGGGAAGGAAGAAGGAAGAAGAAAACAGCCTCTATCAAGTATGAAGAGTAGTGTAATCTAATCAACTAAATAACTGAAAAACATTTAAATTCCTAATTGAGTCTACCCTTAAAAAATATATATGAGTTAAGATAATTATCTGGACATGATTTTAAAAAGCTACTTACCTCTGATCTTAATTATTTGCATATTATAAATGAAAAAATTTCTTTCCACTTCATTCTTCTAACACAGAACTTACCTTGTTTTAAAGCCAACATATCTAACAGAAGTATATTAGTAATATAAGTTTTGTGTACTTGACAAATGGACCTTGAAACTGAGTATCAAAGGAAATCCTTGTTAAGAAAAAGAGCAGTAAAACTTAGAAAAATACATATGTATTTTCGGTGCCTCACATAGCATATTTTATACTTGCAGTGGATATTTAAGCACCTCTATTCTCTGTATGACAAAATTACTTTTCAGTAATAATCATTATTTTCCAATTTGTTAACTTTAAAGCAATAGACAAATCTTAAAGAGAAAACAAATTTCAAAGTTAGTACTCAAATTCAATAAAATATTTCACGAGTGAAAAAAAAAGATTTCACATATGAACTTCACATGCATAAAATCTGCATTTACTTAACATAAATATTACCCATGGAAATTCATACTGTTTCATTGTCATAATTTTTAAATTTAAGTTCCATGTGACCACATAAAATAACAGAATTGAAGTGACTCTATTTCTAGTTCTTTGTCTTTGTGTCATCATTATTTTGAAACTGCTATTTAAATGCATAAGGAATATAATGGCTATTAAAGTATAATCATAAAATGTGCAATTTGAATCATATGTACATATTATTAAACATCAATTATAACCACAGTAATTGTTTAGAACTTAGAAAAACAAAAGAATTTTGAGAAAAACATTTTATCACTTAATATTTAGAACTGCTAAACATGGTGACAGTAAAAAGCAGGCCAACTTTCAGTTGGTTTTATTATTGCTTATAAATATCTAGATATAATGCACCTGCTTAATGATTGCACCCAGGGCAGAATGCTCCCATCACTTCACCTTTGGTATGAATAGTTTTTAACCCAAAGTTGAAGAGAGCCATAAAACCACTTACGTGATATGTATTTATGATGCACAGGACCAACTTCAGGGGCATGTGATGGCACATAGGGTCCCATCCTCAGAAAGAAACCCCATGGTTTGCCTTTAATACTCTGCTATCACAGTCTTGAAATTTTTAACAATTTTATCTCTGAATTTGAGTATATTAGTGAAGTCTGATGGAGTAGAAGCATATGTCCTAGACTCACATTTAGTTCTGCCTTCCAGGTACAGGTCCTTAGCCACCTGCTCCCCCACCCGACAACTGCTGCCCCCTCCACTTCCGGTGACGGTCTTGGCACAAGGCAAAATGGGTCACAGTCATGGGGAAGGGCCACAGATACCTGTGAGGGTCTGCATGTTCCCATAAGTATCCCTATGTACTAGGGAACCAAACGTTAAACAGCAAATAAAAATCACCTTTCTCGGGTCAATCAAGACTGTGAAAAAGGAAAAAGAGTTATTTCCTCTGCTTTTGAACAAGAATACTTGCATTTTCATTTTGCATCAAGCTCCACAATTACATGGCCATCCCTGACTATGTATGTGGGTAACTATGCATGTGTATCTGTTTGCTTTTGCATCTAAAGGAATAAAACAACTTTATATCTGATAAAGTGAATTTATCTATAATTTTATAATTTATAGATAAAATAAACTTATATGTAATTGTATTTTTATCTATAAATATGAGAATAATTTTAATAGTTTACAGATCATGGGAGAAGGAAATCCAATACAATACAATACTGTCTTTTGAGTTCCTTATAATTGATGAATTCCCTTAAAAAATCTTTAACTAAGAATATATTATATGCTCTCTGGGTTCATGCTTGCCTTATATAATTTTCTATTTCTTATGCTTTGTCATACTGGAAATTAAAAAAAGAATATATCATATGCTAAAAATGGAACTATTCTAGCTTCAGAAGCAGGACATGATGTTATAACATGTTCTTCTTATTAACAAAATCTGCTTTACAACTCTGATTTCTTGACAGGCAAGAGATTTTTGGTCAGGAGCCAAAGTCATCAAATATTAAGAGTATGGAGATACATCATATGTGCAGAAGGAGCCTTAAAACTCATTAACTAATTTTAGCACATTTCAATTATTCACATAAATTACTTATACTGAACAATCTTAAATCTTTAACCTCACACCCAAAAAGTCATATGCTTTGTAACTAATAAATTTCAAAATGTATCTTCATAATTCTTTAATTATTCCATTTGTAAGGCAGATGAGCAAAATATTTTATAAATATATTATTATTATATATTAAATATATATAAATCCTTTATGTTGTTTAGCTCTATTATTTAAGAGGCTTTATGATCAATAAATGCTTGACAATGTCTTCAAGGCAATGTCTTCTTTCTTCATTTTAAAAACAGCAATAAGATTTGAATGTAAGAACTGGCATAGATATTCCATAGATGGATATAAACATGTACATGTGAAATGAATATATCATATATGAAGACATATGAAATGAAACCAAAAGCACCTTGAAACAAATATTTTTGCATGTGTCTAAATTTAGACAGCATTTCTAATATTCCTAAGAGATAGTTAAAACTGCAAAAAAAATTATGACATTATGTCACGTGTGAAAAGGTTAGGAGCTATTGTTACAAACTACCTAAGTTCCTTACACCTTCAAAAATAACCCCTGATCCCTTCAACACTGACTTTATCTAATACTGTCTAAATTTTTTTATTCACCAACGTAATCCCGAACAGTCTCCCTTTTCTTCATCTTCCTTTTATCCTTTAAATTGATGTCCAACTCCAGTTTCTTTTCTCCAATCTTGACTCCCTTCTTCAACTAATATTTAGATACTGCCTCAAAAAAAACAATTATATATTGTTGGATCCCATCCCTAGAAATTCCTATATCAATGCTGTATTCTGTGAGTAGAACCTACTCAGAAAGCCAAATATGTAAAATCATGTACTCATTTGTAATTTATCACATTTGTACACAGAAAGAACATCAGCATATACCCAGTGCATGAGGTTGGCGGAAAACAAGTTACCTACATTGTTCATGTACTCTGAAAGCAGGTCCTGGAGAGCCTGGCGAATGGCATTGCATTCTGCAATAATCCGTTCCCGATGGAAATCTCTAGTGCATGAAGAGTCAGCCAATAGTGCAGCCCCACTGATAATGGCTTCAAGACGTTTCTCTAGTGATGGTCTAATTTCTTCCTCAGTCACTGTGAGTGGATCCAAGACAATTAAATTCTAAAGGAAGAATACATTTCAATAATTACAACTCCATTACATTCTGCTTTAAGAAAAATAAATATTATTTCGTTTTCACATTTAGAAATCAGATGTGATAATAAAGAGAATTTCATTTCCATGCATTACTCTATGTAATAATTATTATTCAAATAAGAGATAAAAATTGTGCAATTATGAGCATCAAGTCTAGTGTCAAACAAACCAGTATCCAAATCTTGCCTTTCCTATTCACAGATAGTGTGAGCTCAATCAAGTGTCTTATACACTCTGAACCTCACCTTCCTGATCTGTAAAATTGGAATATTAAAATGTTGCTTGTCTCATAAAACTATGTAAGAATTATGTGAATGCTTAATACAGTGCATGGCACATATCAACTATTATTTACAATAGTCACCTTAATATGGATCTTCATTGTTTACATAATATTTTCACATATATCATCTCATTCTGACAACACTAAAAAAAGTTGGGCAGTAAAGATAACTACACATTTCAACTGGTGATGAGTCAAGCTGAGGCTCTCTTGCCCAAGGTCACTGGGCAAATAAACCGTGATTTCAGACGAGTATCCAGATTGTATAATACCTAATTCAGCATTATTTTAATTATGCCTCACTGTAAATCATACACTCTAACCTCCAACACTAACATATCAAAGAGAATTCTGAACTTAATTATTTATTTAAAAAGTGAAAGTCTATCTTCCATTTGATCTATTATAACTTCTAGCTATTTCCCACTATTGGAACCTGGCATGGTATTTTTAATGTTTCTATCATATATAAGTCTTCAGGCAATAGAAGTCAAGATAATCTGTAGCCTATGATGAAAAGATGGAGGTTATGTGGCTCTAAGGGTTCTTTTATTAAAATATATCAAGAGAGGAAGCCTTTCCAAGATTTAAGCATAATGTGGTAATTGGAAAAAGAATTAGTATCAAATAAAAGCTCTCTGAGGAAACCTTAGCATAAAATGAAATCATATAATGATTTTCAAAATGTTGTGCATATGTGAGCAAAACGTACAAACACAAACACACAAACACACACAATGATCAGAGTGCCTAACCTTATATATATGTAAACACACATGCACAGAGGTGTACGTATATTGTGTGTATGTGTGTATCTTACATTGATCATTGTCCTATTACATTATGATAAATCTTTGGGGATCAAAAGTAGCATAAAATTTTTAAAACTACAATTCTATGCCAAGCTAGGAAGAGAAAATCATTACAGAAAGAGAAAACATTTCAAAACAACTAGAGAAAAAGAAAAATTAGTACTGTGTAATGTTCACATATAAAATACAACTAGAAATAGATCTTTTATAAAATTGGCTAAATGTCTTAAAATTTTTCAGAAGAATTCTTCCTTTCATGATTCTATTTCCTTCCTTTCTCCTCTGTTAATAAGTCTCTCCATTTTTCTCTTTCAGATGGACAAAAATGATAAAAAACAGGAAATTAATTTTACAAATATCAAATTTAACATTTTCTTTATCCAGTGCATAATCTTCTTGATTAGACAATAACTCTACCATAGGCTTGGCCATCCATCAAGGATTCATTTACATCTACTCTATCTCCTTATTTCATTTGCCATTTTACCATGGCCAGGGGTGCCTGAGTGCGGCAGAGCTCCCAGGTATTGGAGCAGGGAAGCCGGTTGCAGAGACGGAGCGGAGGTGTGGGTGCTCAGCTCGGGGTTGCCATAAACCGTGATCCACGGCACAGTCGGGCCACTGCTCTTCAACCAGGGGCCCAACAAGCGGCAGATCCAGGGAGACTCCCCTTCCTCCCCTGGAAGGAGCAGCACGAGAGTGCACCACAGGGATCTGCTGGGTTTGAAGACTCCATATGGGGTCATGAGCCAGAGATAGAAATGCTCGGTCACAGCCGGGTGAGCACAGAGTGCGGCCAGAGACCGGGAAGACGGGAGTGATTGACTGTTTTTCTCTGGTGGTTCACTGAGGAGTGGGGCCCTGAGTTCTCGGCTCCTCAGGAGTGTAAATTGGGAGGCCACCATTTTCACTCTGGTCCTCCAAAGCTGTACGGAAAGCTGGCATGGAACAAGAGATACGGAGAGCAAAACCAAGCAGATTACTTAGCCCGGACCCAGCAAGGGCTGGGCAATTCCACCTCCGGCAAAGACATCTGAGAACCAATGCGACAGGCCCCACCCCCATAAGATCAGCAAGAATAGCCAGCCAAGACCAAGTTTACTGATCAATGAGAAGGGCAGAACTTCAGCGCTAGGGGAATACTGCACATAGAATTCATACCTTTTTTCCCATGATTCTTTAGTCTTTCTTTTTTTTTAACTTTTTTCCTTTTTTTTTTTTGAATTTTTCTGTTTCCCTTTTTCAACCAACATCTTGTCAATTTCTTTTTTAAAAAATCTTTTTATTTTTCATTTTTACAGTCATATTCTATCCCTTCATAGTAGTTAACCTTCTTTTTGGTATATATATAAATAAGTTGTTCTCTCCTTAAAATTTTGGGATACACTTTCTTCTAACAGACCAAAATATACCCTAAATCTCTAGTGTATGGCTTTATTCTAGTCTCCTGCCTGATCACATTCTCTCCCCCCTTTTTCTTAAATCTTCTTTCTTTTTTCAACCAACTTCTTATCAATTCCTTTTATAAAATCTTTTATAATTTTCATCTTACAATCATATTCCATCCCTTCATCATACTTACCATTATTTTTGTACATATATAAGTTTTTTTTCTTTCAAATTTTGGGAGTCACTTTCTTCTAACAGACTGAAATAAGCCCAAAATCTACTGTGTGGCACTGATCTATGCACCAGCCTGATCTTATTTGATCATATGCTGTTTTTTTGTTTGTTTGTTTGTTTTTATCTTTTTCTTTTTCTTTTTTCTTTCTTTCCCTTACTTTTCCCCCAGTTTCAGGACTCCTCTGATTTGCTTAGTGTATATTTTTCTGGGGTCGTTGTTACCCTGTTAGCATTTTGTTCTCTCATTCATCTATTCTCCTCTGGACAAAATGACAAGACAGAAAAAATCACCTCAAAAAAAAGAACAAGAGGCAGTACTGAATGCCAGGGACCTAATCAATATGGACACTAGTAAGATGTTGGAACTAGAGTTCAGAATGCTGATTTTAAAGATACTAGCTGGGCTTGCAAAAAGCATGGAAGTTATTAGAGAAACCCTTTCTGGAGAAGTAAAAGAACTAAAATCTAACCAAGTCAAAATCAAGGTGGCTATTAATGAGGTGCAATCAAAAATGGGGGCACTAACTGCTAGGATAAATGAGGCAGAAGAGAGAATTAGTGATATAGAAGACCAAATGATGGAAAATAAAGAAGCTGAGGAAAGGAAAGATAAACAACTACTGGATCATGAGGGCAGAATTCGAGAGATAAGCGATACCATAAGATGAAACAACGTGAGAATAATTGGGATCCCAGAAGAAGAAGAAAGAGAGAGAGGGGCAGAAGGTATATTGGAGCAAATTATAGCAGAGAACTTCCTTAATTTGGGGAAGGAAACAGGCATCAAAATCCAGGAGGCACAGAAAACCCCTCTCAAAATCAATAAAAATAGGTCAACACCCCAACATCTAATTGTAAAACTTACGGGACTCAGAGACAAAGAGAAAATCCTGAAAGCAGCTCGGGAGAAGAGATCTGTAACCTACAATGGTAGAAACATTAGACTGACAACAGACCTATCCACAGAGACCTGGCAGGCCAGAAAGGACTGGCAGGATCTATTCAGAGCACTAAATGAGAAAAATATGCAGCCAAGAATACTATATCCAGCTAGGCTGGCACTAAAAATAGAAGGAGAGATGAAAAGCTTCCAGGACAAACAAAAACTAAAGGAATTTGTAAACATGAAACCAGCCCTACAAGAAATATTGAAAAAGGTCCTCTAAGCAAAGAGAGAGCCTAAAAGTAACATAGACCAGAAAAGAACAGAAACAATATACAGTAACAGTCACCTTACAGGCAATACAATGGCATTAAATTCATATCTTTCAATAGTTATGCTGAATGTAAATGGGCTAAATGCCCCAATCAAAAGACACAGGCTATCATTGGATAAAAAAAACAAGACCCATCGATATGCTGTCTGCAAGAGACTCATTTTAGACTCAAAGACATCCCCAGATTGAAAGTGAGGGGGTGGAAAACCATTTACCATGCCAATGGACACCAAAAGAAAGCTGGGGTGGCAATCCTTATATCAGACAAACTAGATTTTAAACCAAAAACTATAATAAGAGATGAGGAAGGACACTATATCCTACTTAAAGGATCTATCCAACAAGATCTAACAATTGTAAATATCTATGCCTCTAACATGAGAGCAGCCAATTATATAAGCCAATTAATAACAAAAGCAAAGAAACACATTGACAACAATACAATAATAGTAAGGGACTTTAACACCCCCCTCACTGAAATGGACAGGTCATCTAAGCAAAAGATCAACAAGGAAATAAAGACTTTAAATGACACATTGGACCAAATGGACTTCACAGATCTATTCAGAACATTCCATCCCAAAGCAAGAGAATACACATTCTCTCTAGTACCCATGGAACATTCTCCAGAATCGATCACATCCTAGGTCATAAATCAGGTCTCAACCGGTACCAAAAGATTGGGATTATTCCCTGCCTATTTTCAGACCACAATGCTTTGAAACTAGAACTCAATCACAAGAGGAAAGTCAGACAGAAATCAAATACATGGAGGCTAAAGAGCATCCTACTAAAGAATGAATGGGTCAACCAGGAAATAAAAGAAGAATTAAAAAAAATTCATGGAAACAAATGAAAATGAAAACAACTGTTCAAAATCTTTGGGATGCAGCAAAGGCAGTCCTAAGAGGAAAGTATATAGCAATACAAGCCTTTCTCAAGAAACAAGAAAGGTCTCAAATACACAACCTAACCCTACACCTAAAAGAGCTGGAGAAAGAACAGTAAAAAAAGCCTAAACCCAGCAGG